GTTTCAGGAGGTAAAAGGTCATACCGGCCACTACTTAAAGATTCAGGCATACTCATGTACATCATATTAAAGCGTCCATAAATGTTCATTTCTCCCCCTTTTTTCTCCCCCTAAAAAAGTTCAACTTTAGCAAGGCAATAAAGCTACTAAGACGCAAGGAGTTAATGAATGTGAGAGATGAGGCAAAAGAAAACCTTATTAAGAAGATAGAATTATAAATATACAAGTATTAAGAAAACTGGCATATCATTCAAAATTTTGACGATCAAATTTGACTGGAAACTAAAAACCCGGGACAAATTTCCACAATCGTGTCGTGCGAAGTTTGAGAATATTAACCTACTATCTATCTATATGATTAAATAATTTATCGAGTCTAGAAAAAAAAAACATCGACAGAATGCATAGGATGCCCGTTTGGGACTACATCAAGTGTGCGCATCCATTCGAGTCGAGAAGAAAACTCAACAGAATGCAGAAAGTACTGGATGGCCGTTTCGTCCTATATTGGGACTCATCAGCAGTGCGCATCCACTAACGAGAATTGAACACGGTTAGGATATGCGGCAAGCGTCATACCAACTGTACCAAAGGGCCTTGGTGATGAAGAGGTAAGGAATTAGACTCGATATAGCGCCTCTCTTCACAAATTCCGTGGTGTAACTCATCCGAGTTTCCCTGACACATAGAACTGTCTCCCACACCCACGAGCCACGATTTCTATCTTCAAGCCGCTCCATCCAGAGCATTAGAAGCTGGTTCAAGCAATGCTATACAAGTGATAGATATTATTAGGAGGATTTGAGATAATTATAATTAAGTAATTCATCGAATCTAGAAGAAACCTCAACAGAATGCAGAAAGCACTGGCCAGGTGAGTTATTTTTTCATGGCTTAAGTCATTATTGACGAGAGCGGAAAATATGTCAGCAATATGAAATATTCAAGATACATTTGTCGATGATATATTTTTCGCACTTGTCAGTGATGGGCTATGTTCTGATTTATCATCGGATGAAAAAATAATTCACCCCACCCCTCTACCATCTGAGCTTACTTTTCTATTTAGTGTAGATCTGACATTTAATTGGTTAATCAAGACACACCCACAAGTCTATTTTTAATTCTGACCTTATGTTTTCACCGCCCTATAACTAGCGGAAAAAAAAACTAACACTTTGTTTTTAAATTTTCTTCAAAACCATTTAATCACCAGTTACTTACCATCGCCTGAAGAAGTACAATCAACGTATTGAAACATGAAAGCTTTTGCGTAGTGATTTCAACATGTTTTTTATAAACTGTTATAATATATATATATATATATATATATATATATATATATATATATATATATATATATAGGTAGCCTGACGAATGCGTCTAGCATGAAACAGACTGTCGCCTCTAAGTGTTGACTTCAATGTTCACTTTTATATTTATATATGTATATGTGTGTGTGTGTGCGCGTGTGCCTGCCTCTATCTATCTATCTATCTATCTATATATATATATATATATATATATATACGAAGAAATATAGTTTTAAGGTGTGCTATATTTATGGGATGAAGTGCTCAATATCAGAGATAGAGTGTATGTAATTATAGATATAAAAGTGAACATTGACGTCAACACTCAGATGCAACATGTTGTTTCATGCTGGTCACGCTGCCGTTTGCGTCCAACATGAAACACCCTGTCGCCTCTGAGTGTTGACTTCAATGTTAACTTATATATATATATATATATATATGCAGAAATGTTTAATCTTACAGAAATGTATATACAAATTCATTGAAAACTTCTAGATACATATTTTATATTCTGTCTTGGAATGTAAGTCTGCGTGTGTCTGTGTATGTGTCTGTGTATTTATGAGAGTCTGGATGTGTTTGCGCGCAAGTTCAATTAATGTCTTAGAATAGTATTGTACACAAAAAAAAACTTTGAAAGTGTTGTCAAAAACTTTCAACAAATTCTATTTGATGTTCAGATATTCGAATTGACGCAACTTGCGTTCTGGCTAACACACTCACATTGGAAGTCGCATTTTTTTTATTTTCAACATCATGACACATGTAAATTTGCTTCAACATTTTTTATTTCATATATTTTTCGCTTTTTTGTAGAAAAAAAAAGTTCTTTTGAAAGTTGAAAACGGATAAACTTTACATTTGATAAAAAAATAAAAGCATTATTGTATTCTCGAAATTCAGAGCAAAACCAAATTTTTACAGAACTTGAAGTGACAGACAGAAATAAAAGAATTGAGAATAAGAAAGTACTCGTCAGTCATCATGGAAAAGGGGAATTACTTTTAAAAAGAGATCCATCATTTAATTTCGTTAAAAAAAAAAATAGATTCCTTTTTAATTTATTTGCCTCTTTGCTTTTTTTAATTGTTTGATTCTGTTAAGGTTTATAGTAGCCGGTGCATCCTTCTTTTCTGTTTTGTTTCTGTTATGGTACAAGGTTAGGACCATGGAAGATCAACACGAAACACAACAGTAGAAATAACAAAGAATATATTACACGAAAAATAATACAAGAAGTGGAAGGTGTTAGTATGGCTGTCAGACTGGTTTGGAGTGAACCTCTATCAGCTCGACTCGATTCAGTACCATTTCAATACCGATATGTAACAGTCACCCCCACGAGGAATGTATGTAGCACAAGGCCGAGTTTTACGTGGGTTTCTCCGAGCCCGTAGGCTCGGCCAAAAAATATTCCCTTAAAACCCGCATAAACGGGTTCAGGGCCTGTCTACCTCCCTGGACGAAACTTTGCCCTTTGGCAAAGGTCCGTCCTGGTTCCTCTCTTCCAAAGCAGAGACTTCGATAGAAGTCGCACATAGTCAGAGACTGTGGGTGACTCAATTCAACACCAATCCCGTTTTAATGCCGTTTGTCCCTCTTGAGAGGCGTAGTATATATAGCGTTAGGAAGAGTTCATTCTGTCGGTCTAGGTAGGGACCATGACAGTTTCGTTTCCTATATATTCTCGTAGTAAAATTTCCAACAATACATCTTTATGGTAAAATTGAAACATGGTTTAATTCATTATTATTAGACCCTTGACTGCTTCACTCATCGGGGAGTGGGGCTGACGGCAGAAAAAAAAACCCTAAAAACAATCAAACAACATCCTCCACGATGATCTCTTGGCCGTGACTCTCAGATATTCCTGTCTTGTCATGTCCGTCTTTCATGTTGTCTGACCAGCTTTTACGTTGCCGTCATTGCTTGCGCCCATCTTCAACAGTGACGTGCATGATAGTCGTGCAGAAGCTGTTATGCAGTGTAACGTGGCCAGACAATGACATCACCCGGTGCTTAATAGTGGCGAGGGGAGATTTCTGTCGGCCCACGAGACCTTTGACCTTAGTCTGTACATAGCCATTGGTTTTGTGCTCCCAGTAGGAGATGCAGAGGAGCTATCTCAAGCATGTGTTCTCGAAAACATGGACCCTTTTTCCTGACTCGAACAGGATTGTTTAAGTCTCACATTGTAGAGCTTGAAGTTGGTATGGAAGCTGACATGGTGTACATTGTCAAAAATATAACTTGTATTATTTCGACCGCTATCCTCATCTACATTGCCATACCCACAATGTTTCGGCCGTTGTACTCTCCAGCCTTATTCAGGTTATTGGAATTTCGAACCGACCTCTTTATTTCGTGCACCGGTGTAGATTGTTCTAGTTCCACGTGTCATGCCTCTTCCAGATGTCTCAGTTATTTCCCTTTAACTCAACTCTCCATGTTTTTCGGGTTTTTTGAACTCACAGCTCTTTCGGTCTAGTCACTGGATCTAACCAACGTCTTTATCCACTGGGCCATCTGTCCTTGAGGACATCTGTCTATGAATTTTTGGGACTTATAAACCTAATGTCTCAGCAAACATTTTTACCTGTTCTCATATTGTAATTTTTGTTATTATTATTGCACTTTTTACCAGAACTTATATTGCAATTTTTTGTTATTTGTTGCTTTTCTCTGTCATTCTTTATTAATGGGTCCCATACTGTATTCATTTCTATGCTTGGTCCGCTCAGGAGATTTGCGTCTTTGCTATAATTAATCTATTTCACTCATTTGATTTTGTAAGATTATTTGATAAAATTATATGTAGGTAAATAATTATAATTTAATGATGAAATAATGCCATTCACTTGAATTAATTAAAGTGACTTTTCATTATTAGATTTCGGCATTAAATAACCCATAGAGGTGTTGATATGCCGCTAAAGGAAAACAACCGAACCAACCAACCCTTCTCCCCGGCCTTTTGAATAAGAGTAGGGTTTTGTCCCGTGTTCCATGTTTACGATTCGGTTTCCGGCTCGATTTAAGTCTTATTAAATGGTTATGGTATTTTCATCCTGCATTGCCCTTTTTTAAGTGTATTTTTTAATATTAAATTTATTTCGACTAATTCTAAAATAGTAATACCTTTTCTACAATTTTATTATTTTATTTTGTAGCTGTAGTTACTAATATTTCTTGAGTTATGCGTTGTCACGAATAGAGAAGTTGAAAATTCGCTGCAGTCGAGATGAAAATGTATTGTAATGTGGCAAGAAGAAGAGAAGTTAAAAAATAACTGATGGAAACGTTTATTGCTTTCTAAGATGTCGTTGTGATAAGGATCGGATCAAAGTTCCTGGTAAGTTCGTTAGATTATTGAGAATTCACTCTTAAGTCGCTTAGTTCAACGTTGATGAAATGAAGACAATTATATCAGAGATCCACAAGATGAGATAAAGTTGTGAATTATTAAATTCCCGATTAAAAGAACTACACTAGGCGGATCCTGTCTTAGATAATACAACTTGAGATGAAACTGGTCGATTTCTTGGTGATAACGTTTTTAAGGCAATCTTTGCAGTTATAGCATTCGATATCAAGAGATAGAACATTATTATCAAATCTCCTGAAGACTGGATGTAATTTCCCAAAACTCAGAGACATAGATAAAAAATACTTTTTTTTATTGTT